CATACAAATATCTGCTATCTATGTCTGTAACACAAGTGTCCGGTGAACAAAGCTTTTCTATGTTAAAATTAATTAAAAGCAGGCTAAGATACTTATAAGTATCTCGCAAGAAAATCTAGAAGCCTTCTTGTTAATGTCAGTGGAGAAGGATTTTTTAAACGAAATACATTCTGATGATGTCATTAATATTATTGCTCAACAAAACAAGCTTCTAAATAAAAAATTAATATTGTAGAATATAGACTTGTGCTTATTGTAATTTTTGTCAATGCTGTATTTTGAATATATTTAAATATAAATAGAAAAAAAAATACATTTTTTTTTATTTGCGGGCTCGGCTGGTAATAAATTTTCCACACAAAACTTTTAGGGCCAGTCCACCCCTGTTCAGATAGATCTATTTTTCAACTGATTCAACAAGAATTGGTCTCAAAAATATTAATCAAAGTGTTACAAACAAAAATATACTTAGATCTGCCATAAAGAAAGAACTATTTATGAATAGATCAGAAGATTTAAAGAGAGTTCTAAGATAGTTCAGCTAAAGATGAAACTGTTACAACTTCTGAAAATATGATTAGTTATCTTTATACTTAAAGAACATTTCAAATGTCTGTAAAAAAATGCTACCTGCATTAAAATGAATGAAATTATTTCATTTATTCTACATTTTAATTAAAAACATGAGAAAATATTTTTTTACACTTAATAGTTTTTACAATTAAAACTTTCAAGGTTTGCATTAGCTATAATTCTTCCATCTAATAGATAATAGTAAGTTGCCTGTTTTCTTTCATACCTTGTAAATAAATCAACAAATTTGAATAAAATTTCAGAAAATTACAGTGATGAACAACAAATATATAAACTTTAGTTTTTATCAAAAAAAAACTGTACTGTTTTCTTGTGTTATCAACATCTTCAGGGGTGTCTTCCTCTTCCAAATTATCCAATTAAAATTATCAATAATGAAATTAATAAAAACATAAGTATTAATAAGTTATGAGATCCATATTTAATATAAATTTTTGATACTTTTCAGTAATAATCTCAAATTAAGTTTTCTCTATTGAAGATAACTGTTTCCTTGACTTCTTGACTCCAGCAGTTTTGTATTTTTTGATTATCCAAGTTTCTGTATGTCTGTTTTAATGAAAGTTAGTTTATTTAATTTTTAAAAATTTTTAGTATAATGATAAATGCTTTGTTTTTCAATAATTTTGTGTCTCATATCTAAATACATTTAACCCAAAATTGAGTTTTAGTTAAGTAATAAGTTTATTAACTGTAACAAAATTAATTTGTTATGTCCTACAATCATTTTCTGGGACTGAGACAGGATGAAGAAAGGTGTACCGACATGACACACACTTCTCTCCAAAAAATCATAACCATAGATTAACATAGATTACATTGATTACATAGATCTCTTTAAGAAATAAAAAGATTTTTGATTCAATTCATTCATTTTTTCCCATAAAATGCTAAATTTTGCAGATTTCCTCTCTTGTGTCCTAGGCTTAAGACAAATAATCCTTCTGTCTCTGTTCATTTCACTTAAGTGTATTCTTAAATACTTTACTTCTAGGACAATTAAAAAAAAACACACCTTTAGTTAAAGAATCATAGATGCCAACACTTTGTAAATATTCTCTAAATTCATCTCTCCTAGGAAACCTACGAGGTACCTTTGAACAGGAATAAAATCAATATTCATTTCAAATATCAAATATAAAAATGTCATCAAATATATTTTAGAGAGAAAATTTTTTAAACGTTTATAGAAAATCTATTATGATAATTACCGTGTATGAAGTCATTAAAAAGTTAATTAAAATCTATTTCAAAAATATAAAAAATAAAGCAGTATCACAAACAAAATAGATAACCAGAATAAAAATGAAAGCGTGGTTTAGCAGCTTTAGCTGAATAAACATTGTTGCCACACCTTTTCTTAATTTCGAAATTTCAGTAAAAATTTTTTATTCATAAATAATATTTTTATATTAACATTAATTTTAATTATTAATATTTATAAATTTCTATTTCTTAATTGTATATTTTATTAAAACATTTAAAATTTGTTAAGATGAAATTAAAAACTTTTAATTGATTTTCTGTACCAAGAAACTCTTTTTTTTTCTTTGATAAGGGTTTATATAGAGAATAAACCCAATGTGTTATATAAATATTTGCCGCCAGGGCGGCGTGCGAGTAACTTGCGAGGGGATGGTTGTTTCTCCGCGTTTCTTTATGCAGCGAGAATGTAGCGAAATGACGTCACGAGCAGTGTTGGCCAATTAGAAACCAGTTTTTTGTGTGTTAGCTGTAAAGCGCTTCTCGAGCGCTGCATAAAGAAACGGCAGGTTTTTCGAAATCTAGGTCAAAATTACGAAGACTGAATAAAATGCAACATCTGTATATCACTAATTTTCGACTATTAAATCAATAAAACGATTGCCGATTATAAAATAATAAATTAATCATTATTTCATCAAAAGATGCTTTTTTAAAATTAATTATGTATTTCATAAACTGTTACTTTAATTTTGTTAATTTCTAAGAATTATTCAAATTGATAAAAACATGTCAACATAAATTTCATTATTAAAAATATTTCACTTTAATTTTATTTTATTAAGTTTTAATTAATATTAATTTAGAAATATAACACACAAATTTTTCTATATTTAATTATAATACGCTCATTAATTAATAATTAAGATTTAAAATTCATTAAAAAATTATATAAGCCTGGCAACTTTGAGATAATTTTGGTGTAAACATTGAATTCCAATTTTTCCTGATCTTTGACTACTTTTTTGTAAAGTTCTATATATTTTTTTTACGAAAAAAGAAAAATATCGATAATTTTTGTACAAACAATTCAGTAAATAAATTTTTTCCTTAAAGTGGCATTTTTAATGTTGAATTTACTAACGGTTTACACAGGAGAAATGTAAAACAATAACATAATTATAGAGCCAATTCGATGTTTAAATAAATAAAGTATTTACATACTGATATACTGTAAATACTTTATTTAAACATCGAATTGGCTCTATATATATATATATATTGAAAAAATAAATAATAAATATTAAGAAAGTATTTTAATTAATAGAACAAATAATATTTCACTTAGAAACTGTGTTCGACGAAAATAATAATTTGATATAATTATGTTTTAAGTTCGAAATAACCGCAGCGCCATCTTTCGTTTGAAATAGTCATTATATTTCGTAAAATAAATTTACTATACTAACAATGAGTCGCCATCTATCGCAAATATTTTGAATTATTTCAACGTATGTCGAAAAACCGGCAAATAAAATATATTTTTAATAACAAATGTGCTTACATTCTTGAAAAATAACAATAACACATAATTATCATAATCATATAGTTAATTCGATGTTTAAAAAATTTCAATGTTTTATTATTTCGAAAATATCAACTCAGTAATAAATTATATAAATTATAAATTCAGTTAATCATATAAAAATTATTCTAATCTATGTATTAAGAAAAACCATTTGAAACAGTTATGAAAGAATATTAAAATAAGTGAAATTATTGTTTAAAATGACGAACCACGAAACACGTCACCACCCAAGGTCACGTGAATACTCTACTTCCCCTACGTCAAACTAGTCTGACAAGTAATGTTTAAATCCCTTTCTTTTAAAAGGACAAAGAAAAATTTCCCTAATCGTTATAATTTTAAAACTTTGTATTATAAAATAAAAATTCCAATTTAATAATACTCTGAAATTAAAACATATTAAATAAAATATATAAATGAATATTGTACAACTAAAATTAAAAAAATAATTATAATATTGCTATAAATCTGCAATTTATATATTATTAATATCAATCGATTAATTAAATAAATTAATTATATATTATAATGAGTCTAATTTATGTGAAAGAATTTACGTGAATATAAAAACGTACGAAAACTGGCAGCACTATCGAGAGTTTGACAAACAAAGAAACCGTTATAAACATAAAATTAAAATTAAAATAATTAACGATAAGTGTAATATACTAATACATAAATTTAATAGTAAATAAATAGTATAGTATCAGATAATATATTAATTAGACTTCAAATTTTATTAATTACATTTAAAAAACCGTTATAAATAGCCAACATATCAGCTTTATCGTACAAAAAAACAAATGAAATATTATTACTTCTGACATGCCAAAAGTTAAAAATATTAAATAATATAATACTTAGATGAACTAATAGCCATATCTCTCATATAAAAATTTAATATTCGACAAATAACGTCATCAGTAATATGATCAAAATTTCACGTCATAAGGTTTCACAGGTCAGGGTATTGTTTCATAAAATGTGTTATAATTCGAGAAGATATATAAGTATACAAACATATTATACATGAAAATGTAGAGAACAAAATTCTCCATCTAAATAGTATACAGCTAAAAACGAATTGTAAGTTTAATAGGTCATTATGTTATATCAAATTGCAGTAAATTTACAAGTCTTTAATGTAAGCAAGATAAACGAATTTTTTTGAAAATAAGTACAAAATACATACATATGAAAAATATACCATGCAAAACTACTAATACTTGCATAGTAGCAATATTTTTTTCATACTTCTAAAATAAAAATTTGATTTTATATGAATTTTTAAAATAATACTAGTACATTGACCTTGATGACCTTAACATAAGACTGAAACTGGTAAACAACTCTAACCACGCCCCCGTGGTAACAAAAGGGTTAAATGACCATGTCAAATTTTGTTCTAATCATAAAATATCGAAAGTATCCACCCCAAAAGGAAAAGAAGCAACCACCAAATTTCATTCTCATGAAAAATCATTATTTCACCCAATCTGTATATATGCAGATTTGAGTGAATTTTGGAAAGGTTTCCTCTAATGCAGCGATTCCAAACCTGTGGTACGCATACCCCTAGGGGTAGGCGATAGGTTGTTTAGGGGTACAGAAAAAAGTTAGTTATTATGGCAGAAAAAATTATATATTATGTATCACAAACTCATAGTATTAAAAAATTATTACATAAAAAATGTTTCTTGCAACAATCACAACTTTATTATACATTTTTTCTTTTAGTTTTTTTTCTTTAATTTAAAGTTACAATATGTAAAATTAACAATACGATTACTCACTAAATTTCTTAAATGAGGGGTACAATCTAGAGATATGACATGTCACAAAGTACGCTAATGAAAAAAGGTTGGGAACCACTGCTCTAATGAAACAGATCCTAAAGAAAGTTATACTAAAGAAAGTTATACTAAAATCGTTGAAATTCATAAACCTATATGTTATTCGATTACAATTATTGAAAACGAGGATAAAATAATAGATGCTAATTTTTATTGTGGTGATAATGCTGTTAATAATTTTTTAATTGATATTCAAAACCACTTGAATAATTTGTTAGATAAAATAAATCGTTATGTTGAAATTAATTTAAATACTGTTTCTAATAATTCAAGACATTTATGTCATATTTGCAAAGAAAAATTTGATGATGATGATATTCGTGTAATGGATAACAATCATTTGACAGGATTTTTTAGAGGCTGGGCTCATAATAAATGCAATTTAAATTATAGATGAAAAACATTTATTCCGATTATATTACACAATTTTTCAGATTCGCATTTAATTTTTAAATATATACCTTCTAAATTATTTTCAAAAATTAGAATTATTCCAATAAATTCAAAAAAATTTACATCAATTTCATTAGATTATTTTAAGTTTATTGACGGTTATCAGTTTTTAAATTCTTCTCTCTCTGTTTTAACAGACAATTTAAAAAATGCGAACTATAATTTTTTGATTTTTAATCATTTTTTTGCAAAAACAAATATAGAGAATTATTAACCCTTTACATGCGATCTATCTACAGAAAAAAATTGAATGGAATCCGTCGCGCGGCGCATTTTTTGAATTTTTGGATAATTTTAAATCGAGATATTTCGCTTCAAAATCGCGCGATATTTAATCTGTTTTTTGTGTTTGATTAAAAACATATTGCAGTTTACGATTGTTTAATTTTTAGTTTAATACAAATTTAAAATAATATTAAAATTTCGACGTTCACGAACAATAGAAAAAAAAATTAATTTACAGAGATTCGCTGAACTTTGTACATCTGTTCGTTAGACACATCTGTCTTCTTTTAAACAAAACAAACCGCAGCTCTCTAGCTAAAGCGGGGGAGAAGTTATTGCCATTATTTACACTACGTCTCTAATTACCCTGCGGGGAGAGGGGAGTGGGGAGTGGCTCGGGTATTTGTAGGTCAAAGATTATCAACATACTTTTATAAGAGTGAATATTTGACACTTTTTACATATTTTTTCAACGTTTTATATAATAATAACCTATAATAAATGATTAGTTAATTTTTTCCTGCGATTACGCAATATCCGGAAGTAATGAGTTTCCCGGAAAATTTTTCAGCTGGAAGATTTTGATAAAATATCTTCTTGTCTAAATAGAGTCAAATAACATGAAAACTAGAAAAATTACGCTTTAAAATAATGAATATAGCTATTTTTTAACGTTTGTTTACATAATAACTTTAATCACGTGGATTGATTCTTCGCGGGAAAATCCAGACTACATGTTCTGAAAAAAGCTCTCATTCGTTAAAGTTAAATCAGTTATAATATAAATGACCAATTAGAGCGTAATAAGCGTAGAAACAAAAATTTTAAAGCCAATTAACAGGAAGAACGTCTTCCATAGACTTACTATAGAGAGGTGGAGCTTCCCGGGAATATCTCTTGCTAGATAGTTTTAAAAACATATTAATACTATTAAATATTGTCGAATTAGCTAATTTAATGTCTTAAAACGTTAAATTAGTTAATTAGAGCTAAAAAAACGATTTAAAAAGCGAATTTAT